TGGTTTACCCAGGACTGAGGGGATTTATAGGGCACAGGACTTCTCGTTTTAAAACCAGACTAGTTGGTCACCCTACGAAGGGTTGTGATGAGTAAATAGATGTGGGCAGAGTAAGCAGGCGAGAGGAGTTGGTTGGATTTTGTTCACCAGAAAGATGGAAGCACCAGACAAAATAGATAGGACCAATAAATATTTTTAAAGTCCAAACTTGCCCTAGCTGGTTTGGCTCAGTGGCTAGAGCAGCAGCCTGCTGACTGAAGGTTTCTAGGTTCGATTCCGGCCAAGGGCACATGCCTGGGTTGCGGGCTCAATTCCCAATGGGGCGTGCAGGAGGCAGCTGATCAATAATTCTTTCTCATCATTGATGTTTCTATGTCTCTCTCCCTCTCCCTTCCTCTCTGAATCAATAAAAATATATTTTTTTAAAAGTCCAAACTTACTGGTAATATCAAAATACACACTGACGAAATTTTCACCCGTTTATCAAAGATTTAAACATATATGAACAGCCTGGGAAACCAGAACTTTCACTCACTGTTGGCGGAAATGTAAACTGTTTCAATCTTTCTGGAGGACAATTTGGTACGAGGTTTTTAAAAATGTCTAAAACATTCATACCCTGCCCTGGCTGGACAGCTCAGCTGGTTAGAGCATCATCCCAATATGCCAAGGTTTCAGGTTTGATCCCCCATCAGAGCATATATACTAGTACACATACAAGAACCAACCAATGAATGCATAAATAAGTGGAACAACAAATTGATGTTTCCCTCTCTCTCAAAGCAATCAATAAAAGAAAAAGATAACCACACCCTTTGATAAAATAATTTCATTTCTTAGAATCTGGTCTTAAAGAAATAGAAATATGATCAAAGTTTTGACTACAAGGATGCTTATTTGTTCATGACGGCTTCACAATAAAGTCAAGTTGGAGGCAGCCTAAACTTTCCTCTTAGAAGGCCACATGAAAAAAACAAATTCCTCTTGATTTTAAGCAAAGCAATTCAACTCTTCTTTTGTTCTGCCCTCAACTTCCAACTTATGCCTGAAAGCCTATATTTTACACTCAGTTTTTTCTCAAAGAGGAATTTGCCATTGCCCTTAAAAATATTTTTTTCCAGCAGCTTATAGCTTGTACCACCCACATTGGCTGTTCAGTCCTTTGGTGTTGTTACTCTGGTCAAGGCATTTTTGGTTGTACATAAAAGAAAGCAACTCAGACTACCTCAAGAAGAAGAAGGAAAGAAAAGAATGGTAGCAGGGAGGGTTTGCCTAAAGAGAGAGCGGCAAAGGGGATCAGAGAGAGAGAGAAACATCAATCTGTTGTCCCAGTTATTTATGCAATTCACTGGTTGTTTCTTGTATATGCCCTGACTGGGGATTGAACCTGCAACCTTGGTGTATCAGGATAACACTCTAACTAATTGAGCTATCCAGCCAGGACTAGATGGATTCTTTCATTTAACACAATTCTGAGTTTGAGTCCCTAACTTTGGCCCTTACTAGATGTGTGCCCATAAGTAAGTTACTTAACCTCTCTGTACCGCAGTGGCTTCATCTGTAATAAGAGATTGTAAATAACTTAGGTAGCACTTACTATGTGGCAGATTGTAGTATAATAAAAAAATATATTTGGGGAAACACCTTGTAAAGTATATGATTGTCTAACAACTATGCTATAGACCTGAAATTAATACAAAATAAAATTGAATATAAAATATTATATATATATATTATATATATTATATTATATTATATATATA